ATATTTGGGTGTTGCAGGATTTTTTTTGTCAGATGTTATTCTTCTCGTGATATTGTGTTACTTAGAACTTAATAATGTTCCCCAATTTTGTTTAGATTTGTTAAGGTAGCATCGTTTTTGGAAAAAAAGTTGATTTTTTTTGTTTTTATTTTGTATGCATGTAAATAATAAATTTTAAGAAGAAATCGTTTCAAATTTACAATTATTATGGAAGATAAATTGCATAATTGTGAAAAAAATTAATTTTATATCAATTTGGTATCATAAATTGCTTTACGATAATTACATAACTCTAAAATACCATTGATAAATTGTTTGAAAATTACTTTGTTGTCCGTATTTAATGATTTTTGGCGTTATCTCTACAAGGATGGATAACTGATTGCATTGTATAACATATGTGTTATTATTATGCGAATAATCGGGATTTGGTTATTTGATAGTTTTAGTATAAATTCCGATGCCGTGGTAACTAAATGGAATAAATGAAAAAAATGTTAGTATATTTATTTTTTTTCTACTGATAATTTTTGATCTTATGATCTCTCCTTGAAAATTATTATGTACACGCATAAAAAATAAAAACAAAAAAAAAATCAACTTTTTTCTTAAAAACGATGCTCACAGCATAACAAATCTGAAAAAAATTGGGAAACATTATTTAGCTCCAAGGAACACAATATCACGAGAAGAAGTCAATTTGATAAAAAAAAAAATTCTGAAACACCCTAATTTATATATTTGTAATATGTATACATTATACAGATAAAGTAGATAGGTAATTAAAGTTTCAGTACTTCCCATTATACACGAGGAAAAAAATATTTTGCTCAGTAACTAATGTAATGCAATATTATTTGGATTTAAATTTCTCGCTCCTTCAGTGACACATTACACATAATATTATATAGACAAATATCAGAGCATATTCTGTTATAGAAATATTAACCAGGAAATCGTTTATCGCAGGCATCCGTAACCGTTAGTGTTATCAAATACAACGGATGTGTCGAGAAAAGTATTGATGACTATATATTATATATATATATGGTTACATACTGTTGAAAATTTGCACTACCGTGTTAGTTACATAAATACTTTGTCTTCCAGTTCATTTGATTATTTTATACAAATGAATTAAATTAAATGTTTAAATGGAACAAATGCATGTTTGTTCATTATGATAATGAATGTAAGGGGAATCGCTTACCTAATATTTCGTTTCCCTTCAAAAAAATAACTAGGTACCTACGAAATTATTTCATAAAAATTACCTGTGTAATGCCAATAATAAATTTGAAAACTATGAAAATATTTTTGAACACGTCAAAACTATTAGATTAAATCTACCAACCTACAAAGGCGTAGAATATGAACGGCTGAGGGGGCTAAACTGCACTTGTTCCGTACATTTTTGCAAAAAAAAAAAATGGTAACGAGAAAACTTTTTACTGCATACTCATTTTCAGGGAAGTTGTGAGAAATCTTGAGGGAGCTAGAGGAGATTTTGGGAGAGCAAGGACCAAAGAAGCCTCTTAGCTCCCCACGCTTATGCCTACCTACCTATATAACTATTCAGGAAAACCATATTACCTATTACTGTGTACTTAGTTCATTTTGTTGAGTCTTATAATATTTTATAATGATTCTGTAAAAGTGTTCAAGTTAATACTTAAGGGGCGTAATATAATTATATGCCGTCTGTGTCTATATGTAATAGTCCATATAGCAAAAATGTGTTTTCGTACGACTAATACGTATAATATCTAATCATGACTTAATAGACCTAAAACCGAAATAGTATCACCAAAGCTTTCACATTCAGATTCTGATTGGAGCGAGGAATTATTGGTTTCACCATGATGTTTATTTAATTGTATTCTTAAACTGTGTACACATTTTTCAATTTCTCCGATTTTCAGTGTAGTATCTTTTCTTTCCAAAAATAAATTTTATCTAGATGGTACTTGAATGTAGTAAATTTTTTGATTTTTTGCTGTTTCCATAATTATTAGAAAAAACCGGGAAAACTTACTTCTTGATATAATTTTCAAATCATTTGTGTAATTTTTGAACACTTTTTATTTTAAGAGTTTTTTACGTAATTTTTATTAAGTAGGTATTCTGTGGATAAAATTGTTAGCCAAAATTAAAATGCTTGAAAATTTAACAGAAGGTTCATTCATTGGTAAAAAAAAAAAGTAGAAAAAAATACTCTATTATAGTATTTTTTTTTTTTTAATTGTTTTAAGATCAAATATTGTAGAAAACTATAAATATTACGGCCTTACAAATCATGTATAAACGAACTTCGCTTAGAATCATTTTTCGTTAGCAATAGTTTATCAATAGTTTATCAAGATATAAACTAAATAACTTTATATTATACATAACTTTATACATTCTACTTTCCTAATTTCCCCCCAACAGTGTGCTGGTAAACCCATTTTCAGTATCAGCTCTTTTAAAAGCATGAAAAAAATGTTTAAGTAGTATTATAAATTATGATTTATATTACAATAATCTATGTTTATTTTTTAATTTAAAGTAAAATATACTTATGTCATATTTATGTCATCGTGTTCAATAAAATAAAAGAATGAATTAATAAAATAATGTTTATTCCTAAATAGATGCCTACTCATTTTGTGTCTAATATAAAAATACAAATTTGATTTTATTAGTTTATATATAGGTAAAAATTTAAATTTCTAACAAGAACTTAAAGTTTATATAATTAGATAAAAATAGTGGGCGCAGCTACTGTTGTAGGTGTAAAGTTGGGAAGGTAGGATACAAACGGAAATGTAATGTATATTAGCTATAAGCAACGATAAACTATTGCTAACGAATAAACGATTCTAAGCGGAGTTCAGTTGATAGTGTTACTTTGTCAACAATATATATATGTCATATAATGGTAAAATGATTAAAATATGCGTTTCCATGACAACAATGATTAAGAAGATTAAAATAATAAAAAATTAATAATAACAAAAAATAAATAAAAACGATTGTCAACGACAACCTTATTTTTAATCTTTCAATCTTTTCTAACCTGAAGCACCAGGTTTTCCTCATTATCTCGAATATTGATGAGAATTTCAAAAAATAACCTTTCTAAAGTACCACCCAGAGAACATTTCCTTTTAGAAAAAGTGCTATTTTTGATAATCGGAGGAAGACTTCTGGTTGTAAAAGTGTTAACATAAAATAAACATGATTTTAAAACCAATACATTACTCGCTCCACTCAGAATCAAATAAATTAAGTCCGTTAGAAAATAAAATAAATAGATATAGATATATTTATATAAATATGTGGAGCCCTGCAAAATTCTACACCGGGTCCCGATATCTATCGGACCAGCATTGGCAATAATAAACCATTATTTACGAAAAACGATTTTGAGCAGAGTTCGGTTAATAGTGTTGCTTTGTCATTATGGTAGAATAATTATATACCTATGCATTATATGTTTTCTTTAATAATATTTGTTTAGTATTGTATTTATTTTCCCATTTATTGGGAAAACTCCTGGGAAAATCATAAAATGACCACTCAGATTTCCTTTTAGAAAAAGTGTTATCATTATAAATCAGAACAAAATTGCCGGTAGAAAAGTTGTTAAAAGAAAAAAAAAAGCCCGTAATATTTTTTACCAAATTTATTTATAAACATTTCGTATATTTTCCGTTTTCCCAAATTATTGAAAATCCAAAAATAACCTCCTTAAATTACTATCTAGACAAAATATTCTTTCGGAAATGGTACCACATGTATATATCGGAGTAAGATTTCTAGTAGAATTTTTGTACACAGCATAAAAAATTAAAAAATACATTATATATTAATAATATGTGTATCTTTAATTTAGTTAAAGAAATGTTGTTTTAGGTCTATTATGTGTCTTATAGACTCTATAAGATTTAATATATTGTCCCTGTTAGATAGACAGGGACGGCAAATGTTACTGTGAAATCCTTTTAATAAGAAATAGGTATAGTAGATAAATGGGTTGTGATCATCGATAAAACAAATTTAATGTATAAATTTTAATCTTAATAAATGTTAAATGTTATGTGGATACAATAAATTGTATAAAATTCACATATTATTAATATACTTTATTCTTTTACCATAGGGCCATTGGTGTTGATTTATTATACCCAGGGGTAGATATAATCGGGAGAGGGGCTATAAAGGTTAAAGCCCCCTCCGGTCTTTACAAAGAGATACTATACATCCCGATAACTCAAATTTGAAGTGTTAAAATTAATATCGCTATATATTTCAAAGAACTTCAATTATTAACATTAGATTTAACGAGAATTTTAATTTATCGACGTTTGATTTGTAATCATAATCAACTGCTGTAGGCACATACGAAGTGTTCTATGGATTATCTTGATGGTCAGGAAATAACGTAATATGTTGTCCATAGCACTTGAAATGTATAAAACCGTGGGATAATAGACTAAGCCCGTTCAGTTAATAAATTTAAATGATTTTATAAACGAATAATTTATTAAATACAATTATTATCGAGTACGATTTACAAACCTAAGAATCTTACTGCTTTAATATAATTAAAAAATGAATGTAAATTGAATCAAATTATTGACCGTCTATTGAAATATCATAATTACAAAAAAAATGATTTTGTCTATTATACTATTTATACTAATACATTATTTATTATATAGGTAATTAACATACCATATTTCACATATTATGTGATACACACCTATATACAGCATGTATACTACATAGTTTCATAAAAAATATTAATTATTGTTAATACATGCATATTGGTATTAATACGAACTATATATATGTTACAATAACCCAACGAACCTAACCGTGATGTGCGTAATATCGAAACAATTAAAAACATAAACACTATTGAATCAGAAAAATACTTTGCGGGTGATTAAACACAGGTAGGAATATGAATAATACAGAGGGTAACTATATTTAAATATATTCCAGAATTATCGTAGGTAATAAAAAGCAAGAGTATTACGGTTATTGAAAATAATCGGTAGTATTCATTCGTTAATATCACTCGGAAGTTGTTCGCCTATTTAATCTTCGTAATAAAATATGTCAGCTAATAACCACAATAACGGTTTTAAGTCATACGAGAATGATCACAATACGTGTACAACAGGAATAATCAAAGAAGACAAATGTGCAATTAGCGAATTATCATTAAAGTTTCTACAGTTGGTATCTATTTTTGAAGGCGAAGATTCTGACAAGAAACAGAAATGTGAGTTAATAATAGTAATAATTCTAGTTGCATTCCTGTCAATCGTTATACATAACAACCGGATTATAGGTGATCATTGAAATGTTTATAATAGCTAGTACTAAATCCAAATGCTGTAAATCTTTATGGCGAAAACTTTTTTACATAATAATTTTAATGAGGAACCAAACGTTTTAACCAAACCTAACCAAAGTTTTATTTCATTATTAACATTGAAACAATCCCTATTACAGACATTCAGACGGACAAATTTGAACTTTTATAGTTTTATATTTAAAATAATCATGTCTAGATATTCAATATAAATAAATATAAATAACTTATAGGTACAGTTATATAGAGTAAGTACTTTCACTTTATCATAATATTTAAAATCATAATTTATATTTAGTTTACTTAATTTTAAATACCAAAATACAAAAGTGTTTAGGTAGGTAATGGAAATTACAGAAAAAATGTACACCTGATGTACAAAACTAAATATTGTTAATAATTACATAAACAACGAATCGGTTGTCGAATTTGTTTTGCATTATTATTTTAGGTAGTTAGGTATTACTAATCTAGATTAAATTATAATATAACTATCAAACAAGAATTAATTGAATTATGTGTACCTGAATAACCATTAGCTGTACCATCCGTTATGCTGAGGAACAGAGTGGCCGGTCCGGAAATGGGAATTTACCAAATAGCATGTACCGTATTTTGGCCAGGTGGCCTCATAATTTTATATATAATTTACTCGTATTATTTAAAAACTTAATAAAAATTGTTTGTATGGAGTATTTCGATAGACCGTGAAATTATTGTAGGTACCATGATTATTAATGTAAATATGAACAATCGTTGAATACAAAATTACAAACTATTATATAACTTCAAACATAAACAAACAAAAAAAAAATAAAAAAATATGGTTGGCATAACTTAAGGAAAATAAAAAAATAACCTTCTCAATACACCAACTAAACAAAATTTGATACTTGAAACAGTTGAAACCATTGCTGAAGTGGTTGCAAAGCGAAAGCTTTTTTACAGACAGTAAAAAAAATATATGACATAATACCATACTAAAACTAACTAGCTTCGCTCAGTATCTAAAATGTATTAACCATTAAATAATCCATTTAATGTGAATATTACGTTGAATATTTAACTCTTAAACTAATTTTATTTCTTAGATGTATTATCACAACTAACATTGAACTTGTTCGACAAAATAGTGCTTGAAATAATTTTTAACTACTAAAATATATAATAATAATACAATATTATTAACTAAATTTTTTTTTGACACATAACACACAACAAATTTCCATTAAAAATATTTTATCTAGTTTTGTGGGTTCAAAAATTAAAACGCTATAATCGAGCGTACCGTAGTGAGATTTAATTACTACGTATTTTATTGGGCGGTCTGGATAAATTTCAATCTCCGGTCTGAATTTAGTTTCCACTTAGCCCCTGGTTATGCTTATATGAATGTATGCCTAAAACTTTATGTATTTATATATGTATGTATAAATATATGTATAATATTTATAACTGTACAGTATATAGATTTTAACTTATTAATAATAATACACCGATTCATACAATATTGATTTGAATAAAATTAATTAATAATAATATCATAGAACACAGATTATCTAGTAAAATTAATACTACAAGTCCATACGTGTATTATTATAATAAATATAATAAATTGACGTATAGACGTATCATCATAGGCGTGCGCAGACCTTGGTAGCAGGGAGACAAAACATACATTATTATATATAATATAATTGAATATTATTTTGGTTATTAGTTAGTTCGATAAATATTAGTGATGGAAGTATTTTAATTTTATATATCTTTAATTTAATTACAAAATTAACTGTTTTTGGAAGAAAAATTTAGCCCGCAGGAAGGGCAGTTGCCCACCTTGCCCCCCCCCTCGTGCGCACGCCTATACGTATCATAGCATACTATATATGAGATAGTACTAAGCGAGCCATCAAAATGTATTAAAAATTAAACCGTACCTACCTGCATAAATCATAATGTTATTTCAAAAAATAAGTTCTTATTAGAATAACTGTAATATATTTTAACATGCAACATTTTTCTTTTTAATTAATAGTAAATCATTATTTTATTATTATTATTATTGAAACTTTGAAAAAACAACTAATTACAACAGTTAATAAGTATTCAGTTAAATGATTGTTAAAATAACAAAATAAAAATAAAAGACATCCCAGGATAATGCGGACGGGTGCAACCACTGTTATAGATAATTTAACGTATACCTGTAAGCAACGGTAACCCATTGCTTACGAAAAAACGATTCTGAACGAAGTTCAGTTGATAATTATGCTTTATCAACAACATATGTTATTTTATAGCAGAATAATTAAATAGGCTTTATATATTTTCTTTAATAATATTTATTTAATGCTGTACCGATTTTTCCAGTTTTCCTAAGTTTTCTTGATTTTTCACATTTGCTAGGAAAACTCTTAGAAAAATCGAAAAATGACCTCTTTAAAGTACCTTCCCAGTCAAATTTCCTTTCAGAAAAGTTGCTATCATTATAAATTGGACAAAAATTGCTGGTAGAAAAATTGTTCACAGGAATAAAAAAGAACGCCGTAATATATTTTAACTATTACCTACATTTCTTATATTTTCCCTTTTTTTTCGGTTTTTCGCATTTGATGAACAAACACTTGAGAAAGTCAAAAAATGGCTTCCTTAAAGTACCTTCTCACACCGATTTCCTTTTAAAAAAGATGCTACACTTAAAAATTTGAGTAAATCTTCTGGTAGAAAGGTTAAAAATAAGATTAAAAATGAAGTAAAAAATAATCTTTATAAAACTATAAGCTTTTTCACTCCACTTAAAATCTAAAATACAAATAATAAAATATTAAATTAGAAAATCAGACTGATAGATGCATGAAATAATTGATAAGATGATATGAGGAAGATGTAAAGAAAGAATCGATTGTACATTGAAGGGGAAATATTGGAACTTACTAAGGCAGAGACAGTATTACGTTATAATAACAAATAATAACAATTATGATTATATACTTAGAAAATATGCACAATCATAATTAGGAAGCAAGGGGGGGGGAACTGTATAATTTTTTTATTTGACACTTCAATCGCTAAAAAATTATAAAATATATGACCTTATATAACGTGGTTGTATTGGGTTGGGTTAGGAAAGGGTAGGTGCAAATTTTGAAATAATATTAGGTAAAACGATTATAGTGTTAATTGTTTAATCGTGGTCCGCTAACACTCATGTCCGTACGATTTTTAGTTTTGTCACAGAGACAGTTAACGGCGGAGGCGGAAACGGAAGTAGCGTCGCCGACGAGCGACGTCCCGGCGTCGGAGGAAATAGACAGCACAAACAACGGCGGCGGTACGACTTCTGCGTCCGGTGTGGCCGTGATGAATTACGTCGGTGGTGACGGAGGCGGGGGCGACTGGATAATGCGAAAGCCGGAACGGAACCTGTTGATCATCGTACACCCGTGGTGCATGCTCCGCAAATCGGGGGCGGACAGACAGTCGGAATTCCCGCCGCCCGGTTTTCTACAAAGTCTTAAGGCGAAACTGCTGGCTCTCCACCGGAAAACAGCGGAAGAACAACGGCACTGCAACCATCCGTCCATGACGGCCACCACGGTCAGGCGGCGCCGGCACACCAACCAGAACAAGATGGTCGGGTGCTGGTTTCAGTATACCGCGGCCGCCGCCGCAATCAGTGGTCCACGCGCCAAAACGATCACAGGCTCCGGAGCAGTACCTATTCATCATGATGAACCCAGAGCGGTAGATTTTTTAACAGCTAAACAGCGATTCGCTACTGTCGCCACTAAATTAGACAAAACCAACACGTCTAGTTCACGCTCAAGGTCTGGAAAATAGGGAAATATCTGAGCCGCGGCTGTTTTTATCGGTTCATGGGATGGTCGGTTTACTATAATGTAATAATATAATAAACCTAAGTACTTTCGTAATATTTATTCTTCTATACATTTATAATAAAATTAAAATTTCATTATGACGAATGGTATTTCAATATTTAAAAAATAACGTAATATTATAGAAACAATTAATTGTACCAATATATTTTTAATTTTTTTAACAACTTTTATATCAAAAATCTGACTCCGATCATCAACTTGAGTGGTAGTTTCGGATAGCAAATATGATAATTAGTATTGGTATTAAAAGCCATTTTTTTTATTTTTCTTATTTTTAATTAGAAAAAACTTGAAAATTTACGGCAATATCTGTTTCTGTTACTTTTGATTTTGGTTTTTTTTTTCAGTTTAGATTTTGAGCGTAGCGAGGGATCTTTTCGTTTTACTATAGCGTGACCATATTTAAAAAAAAAAAAAAAAAAAAATGGAACAATATATTTTAAGGTTTACTTATGGTTATACAAAGATGTTTATTTTTTTTTTTTCGTGGACAACTTTTCTACCAGAAATTTTGTTCAAATTTACAATGATAGCACATTTCCTAAAAGGAAATCTGACTGGGAACGTACTTTAAGCAGGTCCTCTTTTGGTTTTCCCAGGATTTTTCACAATAAATAAGAAAAACAGCAAATTAGGTATAATATTAAACAAATATTATTAAAGAAAATATATAATGCCCATGTCATTATTTTACTATAATATGACATATATATTGTTGACAAAGCAACACTATCAACTGAACTTCGTTCAGAATCGTTTTTTCATTAGCAAATGTTTATCATTACTTACAGATATACATTAAATTTCCACTCTACTACCTTCCCAAATTTTCACCTACAATAGTGGTCCACCCATGTGCCCAGTTTCCCGGCTTTATTTTTTAATTTCTATATTTTACTGTAACAAGATAGTTTCTAATTACCTAGTTTAATATTTTAATAAAACATTTGTTTATATTCCATTTAATTGTAAGTTTGAAAAAGTTCTCAAAATATCGTTATTTTTATTGAGTTTATATGGAATGCTCATTGTTTTCACTATTATAACCTTTTGAAAAACTTTTTTTTTTTTGTGTGTGTGATTTAATACGTTTAATAATTATTTTGGTTGTGCAAAAATATTTTACAAATCATAACAGAAATATTTTTTAAAATCATAATTTCTTTGATAATATAAAAAAGTATAAGAAAGTGTTTTTTTTATCTGTCCATAATGCATTGGTAATAGAAAATATTTTCTCTACTGCACTAGTTCCAGGCATAATTTAAGAATATTCTCTCAAAAGTTTTTGATTAATATATTACATTTTTTTCTTTCTGAAACTATAGACAACACACACCATCTTTCTTTAATATATGAACACAATATTATTCTGTCATTCATTGAAATTGTCAATAGTTTTGAAAATTAATAAAGTTGATAATATTATTGGTAAATGATTCATTGATACTCTTTAAAAAGATTATCTTCATTCACATTTCTGTCAATCTGTTTTTATTATTTTTTAAAATGAATATTAAGCTTTCTTGTATATCATACCATATTATATATTTTTTTTCATATTCAGGTTCTTTGGTTACACATATAGATATATTAATATGGAAATAACAGGATTAAAAAGGAATTGTCTTTTAAAAATTTGTCAAAACAAGGGGAATTGATGATCAAAATAAGGACAATCCCATTAATGGTCAATGACAAATGACAAAAATGATAAATATTTATGGTACACTGCAGTGTTACTGATTTCATTGGTTTTTAATTTTTACACACTGTTTTCTACAAGAAAAAAATGAAAATATTGATTTTTGTTCTATTTAATATATTATAGCCACAGACAGAGAAAGTGGGTTTTTTATATCCAAAGTTTCATAGTAACTGGAAAAAACTAAAAAATTAAAATTAACTAATATTTACAGCAACTTGCTGTTCCTCTTTAATTATTTAAATATTTGTCATGGTTTTCTACCAGAAATTTTTCTCCAATTGGAAAATGACAAGAGATCAATTTTGTTTACAATTTAATATTTAGCTACTGACAAAGATAGTCATTTTTTGATATTTCAAATAAATTTCATAATAATTCGGAAAAACCAAAACAAACGAAAAATACAATATTTTTTAAATTACAATACAATTTCATTATTTTAAATGTGTACAGCTTATGTTTTTTACCATAAATACTGCTCAAATAATAGACCTTTTTTGTTGCACTTTTAATCTAGTTTGTGAGTAATTTGGTTTTTATTTTAAAAATAGTCATTATTTTAATAACAATTTAATCTAAAAGTACAGCATTATTTATTAGTTTGTAAAATATTTCTCAAATTCAGTTTTTTTTTTTTTTCTGATGTTGGTCACAGAGATAAGAACTACAAATATTTATATTGCTATTAATTTTGTATGCTTTGATAAAAAATGTTTAAAAATTAACTCAATAAGCACTTCATTATTCACTAAGTTCATCGCTTAACTGATGCCATTACCTAGTCTACCGAAAACAAACTATACCATAGGTTCTTAACCAGGGGTCCATGGACCACTTAGAGATCCATAGATGGTTACTCGGGGTTCCACAGGGTAGCTGTGAGTTTAACCCAAAAATAAATTTGTTTCATTTTTGAATCCATTCGCTACTACCTATCTCTAAGAGTTTGGATTTTCTACAATGGTCACAATTAAAATTAAACAAGAAATTTATTGGACATTAAGGTCAATAAGCGCGGTGCTCTGTCCCAGATTTTAAGTCAATATTGCATTCAAAACAACAGTTTATGTCACATTAAAACTTGTTTTTGACTATAAAAAAAAGTGGTTATTCATAATAATTTAGTATAGTATTAGTCTTAGATTTATTATTAAAAAATAATTAAAATAAAAATTATATTTATTTTTTAAATATATATTTTTTTTTTTGTGGGGGTCCGTGATTATATTTTATACTTCAAAGGGGTCCATGGCCCACAAAAGGTTAAGAATCTAGGAACTAGACAGTTTTCAAGTTTTCAACAAGATCTAGCAAACTGGACTCCTGTTTAAATTAAAAGAATTTCTCTTTTATCTCTTACCTTTTATTTTTCATATTATACTTGAAAAATCGTCATTTTGTAACTATAGTAGGCTCTGAGTTCTCGAACTTAGCACTCATCCTGGCCAGAGTACCTCAAGATGCAATATCATCAATAAAAGACATTCTAGGATAATGGAGGCGGGTGCAGCCACCGTTATAAGTAATTTAATGTATATCTGTAAGCAAACCATTGCTAACGAAAAACAATTCTGAGTACAGTTGATAGTAATGCATTGTCAAAAATATATATGTCACACTATAGTAAAATAATTAAATAGTCATTATACATTTTCTTTAATAACATTTATTTGATATTGTATATTTTCAAATGAAAAATAAAAATAAATAACGCAAAATCTTCGCATATCACCTTTACATTTAGACAAAACATAGTTCCTTCGATCTTTCTGTCAAATAAAATTTTACTATCTGTTCCTAGCATCAAATAGTTATGTCTGATCCTTGATAAACATTTAACTTCGACTTAAGCATATAAAACAAAAACACATTTTGCTTAACACTAGATCAATTTTTCTGTACACACTTTTAGGTAAACATTCCAAACTTAATCTGAATAATAAACTATTGCTCTCCTGAAGACTATTTGGGCCTATGGTATCCTGTTATGGGTGTAGCAAAAAAATCCAACATTTACAAAATCAAGTCTATATCACTTTATGTAATTACTAATACATCCTGCTATGTATCTAACTATACACTACAATTAAATCTTGGACTACAGACTATCCCTGAAATGTTTACATCCGCTTACAAGCATTTCCATTCTCACTCTATGAACCACCAGAATCCACTTATCCTTACATTTAACTCAGTAAACATTCCCGGGAATCCACAGAGAAGACTTGAAAGATGCTGATGTTGTGATTTAGCTTAACTAAACTGATATACAAAAATAAAAAATAAATTACTATTTTATATTTTTGAAAAATTTGAAGATAGCTATTTTATAGTTAATTTTTCTGATAATTTGGATGTATTTACTTTTTATTTTCTTTAAATTTATGATTTTTAATAATTTTTTAAAGTTCAGAGAAAAATACCTATAATTATATAGCATGCTATAATCACATTTTCTAATTGATCACTATTATTATGATTAATTTGTGATTAATTGACTATACTGAGCTGAGGCGTAGGGAAAGCGGCGCTCCCATCGCTCAGTACCCCTTAATACGGGAACTGCAGTAGCCCTACCCTTACCTTAGTTGATTGGGATAGTCTGATCCTCCAGGTTGGAGGTTGAGATAGACTTGACAATCTATTTCACCATACAAGTTATGCAGGAGGCATTATCATTCCCATTAAGCAACTATCAAACACTATTTTATTAATATAAACAGTACTAATCAGGACCCCGGGTATTCAAGATTCGGCAAGAGGAGTAAGGAGTCTTATCAGGTTGTCAGTCATCAAAAACCTCAACATAAAACAATAAAATCAGATAATACAAATAAATCATAAGTAATTAATATAGGAACATGGAATATGAGAACAATGTGAAGAAAGTGAAGTAAAAATAGACTCAAAAAAACCATTAATTATCAAGAACGAATTTAGCTGGAGCAGCTTAAAAACAAGAAAGCAGCTGGATCAGATTTAATAAAAAGTGAATTACTGAAGAATGCTGATGAAGAAATAAAGAAGATTCTCTACAATAAAATACAAAATTGTTATTTAACAAGAGATATTCCAAATGACTTTATGATTGGTAAGATAGTCACAATTCCGAAAAAAGGGAATGCAACAGAATGCAATAACTATAGGACTTTGTCTTTGTTATCGCATACTTCAAAAATTTTACTCAACACAATAAAAATAGAATAAAACATAAAGTTTAAAATAATATTGAAAAAAACCAATTTGGGTTCAGATCAGAAAAAGGAACAAGAGAAGCGCTATTTTCAATAAGAATGTTGTTAGAAAGAAGATTAGATATAAATAGGAGCACCTATGTACCATTTGTAGACATCGAAAAAGCGTTTGATAATTTTGACTGGAAACGACTATTTAAAATAATGAGAGAAGTAGGCATAGACAAATCGATATAAGACACTAAAAAATTTGCTTTGATCAAAAGAGGGGTAAGGCAAAGTTGTTCCCTATTACCCTTGTTATTCAATATTTTTATTGAAAGTGTCATTAAAAAGTTCAAAGCAAAAACGAAAGGTGTAAAAATAAATGGAAAACAAATACATAGCATAAGGTTTGCAAATGACATAGTCATAGAAGCAGAGAATGAATGTGACTTGAATAATATGTTGACAAAATTATCAGAAACTTTAGAGGAAGTACAATTAAAAATAAATGCTAAAAAGACAAAAATATTAATAGTAGACAAACATAATAAAAAAATGGAAAGAACTATTAACCTACATGACTTTTGTTTGGAGTGTGCTATTATATGGAAGCGAAACTTGGACTTTGAGTGCTCTAGACACAAGAAGAATAAAAGCATTAGAGATGTGGACCTGGCGCAAAACGATGAAGATAAGTTGGACGAAAATGAAAACGAACAAGGAAGTTTTAAGCTTGTACAGAAGCCAAGGCAAATTATCAAAATTGTAGAAACAAGGAAAATTAAGTTTTCTGGACATGTTATGTCACACAACACGTTCATTATAAATATTATGGAGGGGAAGATAAATGGTAAAAGAGATAGAGGACGACCAAGAGACACAAACATAGGAAATACAATGAAGCTATTATCTTTACCAAGTGAAGCAATGAAAAGATTAGCAGGAAAAAGAGAAGAATGGTTGCAGCGACAAGGCGAAGCCTTTAGATAAAAAAAAAAATTGTAAATTATATAATTTATTTTATTTTCTAGCGTTACTATTATCTTCTTAAGAAGCCCGGTAGTATTCCATTATTTGGTATGATAGGTAGGTTATTATGTTTGTCATGCAGATGTTTCATGTACTTAAACAATATCGACTTCATACACCCGTCTGATATCTGATGTGCCTGTCATCTCCTTTAGCACATCTAATGTAAGTTCTATAACACATTAATATACATAAATTGTTAGCTGAAATAATAAAAATTTAAATTATTTTTAAAATATTTGTACAGTCCTGAAGTACAATTCAAGAATCGTCTTTTGTCATAGTCTAATAGGTACTGTTTAATTATTCGCCTTTCCATACCACATACTTGCTTGTATCAGCTCACTACATATAATAATAAACAATAATTTGATTAATATAATAATTTAAAATAATTTAAAAATAGCATACCTTTTTCAGACATCAGCAGTATAATATCGTAGTAGGGAGCTCTATAAAAAATAAAAATATTAGTACCTATAGTGAAAATAGTATAATTATTACTCTATGAGTAGTATTATATACATCAATATATTATCATCGTATATTTCAGCAAAAAATTAAACATACTTTCCGCTAGCAAAATTTGATAAGAAAGCCCAGTAGTTCCCAAAATGCGTAAACGTTCCAATATATTAAACAGATAATAATCTTCTCTACGTCGTAATAGCCGTGGTACAAACCGTGTTTAAGATATCTTAAACCGTGGGACAAACGCACGAAGCGAAGTAAACTAAAGGGCACTGAAACAATTTAAATTACATATTATTAGTCATATTTCTAAAACAAAAATACACCTTGTATATCTATAATACCTATACTGCATTGTTTGGATATTAAACTGAAAGTTATAAAACAATTGAGTAGGTACTTAATATGTGACACAATAACGTGTTAAAAAAGATACAGATATAGGTACTTAGCACTATGGGCCACTAGCTGTAGATGAGAAGTTGGGAAGGTAAAGGGGAAATTTAATGTATTTCTGTACATAACAATAAACCATTGTTAATGAAAAATGATTCTGACCGGAGTCGGTTTAATAGTGTTGCTTCGTCAACAATATATGTCATAAATGGTAAAAAAAAATTACATAGGTACCTATGCTATTATAATATTTGATTAATATTGTACTTATTTTCCCGTTTTTTCCATTTATTATGAATACAACTGGAAAAATCGAAAAATAACCTCCTTAAAGTACCACCCCAGTCAGTTTCTTCCGGAAAAAGTGCTACATATAATTGAAAATCGGAGCAAAATGCTGGTAGAAATGTTGTCCTCAGATTAAAAATACAAATAAATATCATTGTGAAACCAATACATTCCTCGCTCCGTTCAAAATTTAAAATAGTAAGTACCATTTTCAAACCGATATACCAGGGTAAATTTAAGGACTTTTAAAAATAGAAGAAAAATCGGAACATGCCGTTTTCCTTCACCAAAAGACAGCTGGAGAAGCCTACTTTAAGACGGCTAAACTCCTGTCGCCCCAGAATAGGTAACCCCTTTCACATTGTTTTACTGGAAAGGTATTGATAGAGACGTTGAATAATATATTGATAATTGTGCAGTGTGTCAGAAGTTTAGAACGGAAAATACAAGATCCAATGTTATCTCATTAGGTACCAAAATTTCCTTTTATGAAAGTGACGTGTGATATTTGGGATTTCGGTAAGTAAGCTTATTTAATTTTGGTGGATTATTATTCAAGTTGGTTGGAGTAAAGATTTGTATTTTCCAAAACAGCAACTCGAATAATACAAGTATTAAAAATTATTTTTTCTTATCATGGTGTTCCTGAACAGTTTATCGCTGATAATATTCCTTTTGGTTCTAAAGGGTTTTCTCAATTTACTAATGAGTAAGGTATTAAGGTAATTACAACAAACCCTAGATATCTAAGAAAAAATGGTCTTGCAGAAAAAGTGGTAAGTATTGTAAAATAAATTTTGAAAAAGGCTGAAGAGAGTAAGACTGATACATAGTTAATGTTAATGGAGTACAGAAATAGTGTTATTATTGGGTCTAAATATTCTCCAGCACAATTATTGATGAGTCGTACTTTAAAATCTGAAAAACCTATTTTTAATAATTAATTTAAGCCTACCTTGGTAGACAATTTTAAGTCGTATCATGAAAATAAAACTGTTAGAATAAAAATGAAAACATGAAAAAGATGTAGATTTTTATCTTAATCAAAATATAATGTTTAAGGATTTAAATAATCAGTACTTGGAAGTATGGTAAAATAATTAGTAAACATAATACACTTAGATCATATGTGTTCAGTGATAACAATGGTTGTAATAAGCAACGTAATATTATTCACCTTAGATCAGCGGGTAAACAGTTTACATGGTTTTATGTTATTAACATTGGATTTTGTTTGTGACTGTAATGAAGTCTTTAATGGAAAAATGTATTCTAGTATAGTAATAAATAAAAGAAATTTGTTGAGTTAAAATTTAATTTAAAATTGTTTATAAAAGCATTTTCCTTTATTCTTATAAGTTATTAACTTTTACTAACATGTTTAACATTATTTTTTCAGGATACTGTAATAATTATCGTGCTACAAGTAGTTAAGAGAATCCTCTGGATTAGCAAGATGTATTTTTTAATCTAATTTGTGTATTTTTATCTGTCATGAATTAAGTAAATCTCACCTTTTTCCATCCTAATTTTAAATGAAGCAATTATCACATTGCTACTTGCTTTACAAATAAATATCTAGGTAGTTTATAAAATAATATTATGCACAGTAATTATTTTAAATTATTCATTTCTAGTTTAAAAATGAGAAATTTTCTCAAGTTGAAATGTGATAATGTAATGTTAATATGTGATTATATTCCAATTTTGTTAACTTATTATCTAGATATTCAACCAATAGTGCTTGAGTTTGTTTAAACAGCCTTTTGATGGGAAGATGTATACATGTGTTAGGTCTACAAATGGTTTTTTATTAGAATTTAAACAAAACACGGTTGACAAGTTGTATCTATAAGTGAAAACCCTACAACACCAGACCTGGGTCAAAACTTACTTGTAATTATCAGGTATAAGTACACTAAAGAAATGACTGAACAGGTTGGCGTCGAGGTGACGGTGCTCCTCCTCGTGTGTTGATGGTGGTGTAATTGTCTAAACTCCTGATTGAGTTCAAGTTCAGCCCCTGGTGATGATTCTGGTCTCCTCATATATGGTTGTCGCCTTAATCAGGCCTAGATGGTGGTGGACGCTGCCTACTGTCTACTGGTGGCATGTCGTCCCTACCTAGACACATTTTCCTTTTGGCTCATGAACATCTATCATTTATTGTTGCATAGGAATGTTGTCGGTTTACCACACCCGTATTAATGGTCCTGACATGAGTACACTTAATACAATTTCATATCTTGTTGCATAGAATTCTTAATTTATAATTAAAAAACTTTAAACATGAATGACAGAATCTATAACAAATTTAATTTAATTGTTCTATACAAAGATTTGAAAGTAATTTGCCTTATGGCTTGTACCATTATACAACAATGGTAAATTGTAGAACAATTGTATTTATAAATAATGCTTAACTTTTATAGGTATTATCTGCGAACTTGTCTAATATGTTACCAATTTGGGATGGAAATAGACGTAGATGTTTATTAACATCTCAATTCTCTAGTCTTTTGTTTAGTTGAATAAACTATATGTTTGGTGGTCTAAACAAAATTTATCAATGTATGTATTTGTATCTTGTGATATCTTTTATAAAATTTGTATTTAATATTAATACCCTGACACCACTAGAAAAAAAATTGATTTTCTGGCGTTCTAGAGCAGTAACAACATTTTTTTTTGCGGTTACAAATTGATAAATAATATATTACATAATACCAGTCAGTTTTTTGAAGTCAACAGTTTTCTATTGTGGTGCCAGGGTAACTGACCTTTCTACATTCACCCTTTCACCAACCATTTTGATGTTTTCCCAGAAAATACCTGGTTTTAAAAGTGGATAACCAGTTATTCACCATTTCTGGGTTGAAATTTGTATATCTATAAAAATAAATCTAGTGTCTAGTATATACGATTATTGATTGTATAAATTAGGTTGCATAGCACTCCAAATAATTTTACCCTAGTTGTGCTAATAATATTATTATTAGGGAGATTGGCAATATGACATACTATTTTTGAACATAGACATATAATAAAGAAATGTAGTTAACACCTCACAAATATATGTGCATATTTGTACTAATATGTACCATTGATTATAGACTTATCTATAATCAATGCTAATACTATGCATACATGTCTGCAGTCAAGTAATAAATTAAATAAATTTAGGATTAAAATTCAATTTAAAAAAAAATTATACTCACCATGTCAGTTTACCCAAATGCTTAGGTATAATGACATACACAATTTGTATTCATGTTTCTTAATGCCAAAGTACTAATATAGACTTATTTGTTATAGAACTATATAGTACCTATAGCTAACATATTTTTTATCCAACATCAAATGGACAGTCTGAATTATGACACAATTTAATGTAGCTGTAAAAAGTACAATTAAAGATTTCTTTAATAATCATAATAAAAAAAATCATTGATATCACCATGGATGGATATCACACATAATTGTGTTTATCGTTTTTGTGATAAGGTCAGAATTTAAGATAAATCGTGGCTAATGTCTATACATTAGATATATAAAATACAGTTATATATAGTTTTTTTTTTTATATAATTAATTGTCTATGGGCTAATGGAATCTTTACAAAAGTATTAGGAAATACTATAGATAGGAACATAGTATTGACTTCACAAATTAAAATATCTTTATCCGTTCCCATTAATAACTACCTACTTTATAGTTCCATCGGATTGAAAACTGGATAAGCAAAATTGTTTTTATGAGGAAAACTCGAATACATAAATACATTCATACCAAAACGTTACCAGTTTTATCTCAGTCATAAAAAAAAAAATTGTTCTCTTAAGTTTTATTAAAACAAAAAAAGCTTTAAATTAAACAATAAGCAAGTTGCTGGGCCCAATGATCGACAACCCTTTAGAAACATATTACATATATTTCGTCAATTTATATCAATGGCATTAATGATGCATTTGATTTTACCCTGAATCCTATCCGACGTGGTTTTGATAAACAAATCGAGAGTTATTTTCGATTAAAATTGTCCGAATGAGTGCAGCGAAACACAGCACGTTTGAAACACTAAAACTAAGTCAGATAAACTTATTCTGACTTCAATAAAAAAAATTTTACTATCAAAATATCAATAACTACAAATAATAATTTAAATAAATGTCTATTTTTGATTAATTCAAATAATGCTATTTTCAAGGTTTATGTACAATAACTATAAAAGTAACTATGATAGGTAAGTTTTGATTATATCAATGGATTAACCAATAATTGATCTTTGCGTACAGATATATATTAAATTTCCCTTCTATCTTCCCAACCTCTCACCTACAACATTGTCCCCTCCTATCATGCGATGTGTGTCCATTTGTTTCTTTACTACTTGGATTATCAATATTATTACTAAATTAAAATCTATATACACCTACAGTTAAATGGTACATTTTTTCCTTTTTGTGTGGTCAAAATCATAATGTACCTACACCTTATTATAAATGGACTTATTGGACATCCCAATAACTTAATTAGAATTTCTTCATGCTCAAGAGTAAACCAATACTTAAAATTCTGAAGGCGCGTAAAATGTTGGGAAATATTTTGTCAGAATGTTTGTGAAGATAGTTCGTATACCATTGATATGAAAGTAGTTACTGCCATGTCTATCATGTTGCATTCACCAGAATAATACGGGGGTAATTTATAATAAATATTTATCCGGAACCGCATTTCGTCGGAAAATAATTTTAAAAATGTTGTTATCATTAATAATTTAATGTATATAATTCGGAAACAATTGTTACGGACCGTATAATCTTGTACACCGTGCGCCGTGGTTGTACCTACCACGTTATACCTAACGATACCTATCGCCAAATAAATCATCGTAATATACACGCATGACACATAATATACTGTTTCAATTAAACTACTGGGAAATATAATCTCAAAATTACGTTCCAAATTAAAACAGAAGCGTTTGTGCGAGAAAATATGTGTACACAGTAAGGACATTAAAACAAAATGTTATCGATATTTTGTTCACTACGTATGTCGTATATCATACTGTATCAGTGGTGCTTTTGTGATGGCGGGTAGTGGCAGTGGTGGGTACCAATCAATTGGCGGGTGAATGGTTGAAGCAGTTTCGATAACCGGGAGTGGGAAGGGGAACACATGCGTGAAAACTGATGTTTTCCCCGCCGCCCGGTGTATGGGTGTAATAGGGTGAATGAATGATGACATTGATTTGATAAAGAAAAGTTTAAAAAATAATAGTTTTATTTTGGTTTTTTTTTTTCTAGGTAACTGATATTGATCATAATTCATGTCATATATGTCAGAAATTTAAATTTATTATTTTTGATTAGGGTTTTTGCTTTTCAACCTTAAAAATTTATTATAAAATATCAAACAATTAATACCTGTACATATTTTAAATTATATTATAAGCTTACCTATTGGTTACTATTACTAATTTTTTTGTTTTTTATTAGGCAACAACATGTTTTTACTACAAAAAGTATGCTTTGTCAAATAAATATTGAAATACTGTTTGGTGAATTTTTAATAGGTACCACAATTTAAGATATAGATTAAGTATATCTCAAATCATGCTAGGTATTGGTTTTCTTCTTTAATCCTAACTATTTGAAGTCGCTATCTTTGTGCGTAATTAATTACTTTATGGTATGCCAACATCTTGGTACTGTATTCGCAAACTAATCGGCTAATTTTACATCATATATGCTTTTTCAACCTACCAAGCAGCTTATTGGTATAGCTTGACATTTTACTTAAAACATATGACCAGGTCCAGTCTGTAAAATTAACTGGGTAACCTGGGTAAATAACAGTGGAGAGAACTATTTTTAAAAACTAAATGAATGGTTGGACTTGGTTCGAATCACTATTACTGAATTCATGGTTAGGCTCAGCTCAGACTTTTCGGGCTAGGTATGAACGAATATAGACATGTATATTATATAAGTTATACACTATGTACAAATTAACATAAACCAACTAATGTATAGCTCAAGGTATCAAACTCAAGAGTACGGAATGAAAATATTTTAATTTTGATGTATCTGTCCAATTAATGTAGGTAATATTTAATAATTTGTAAATGTTAAAATTTCATTTAAAAAAACAATTTAATGTAGTTAGTTCACAGATAAATCTCACATTTTATTCCTATAAAACTTTAAATACTGATTTATTTTTGTTTAAAAATTATGATTTCACAGCATTTTAAAAATAAATAGATTACAATGAAATCAAAAATAATTATTAACATCTATTATAAATATAAGCATTAGGTATTCATATTAAATTCCTACTTTTTTATTTAATTTTTAAGAATGAATAAATTCCAGTTAAACCATGACTTTTTATTTAATCGTACATATAATTTGTCAAATACTAAAAATTTAAATTTTTTAGGTTAATATATATGCAAATATTGGATAATCCTCTACTCAAGATTCATAACTAAATATAAATATACAATACCAAAGTAAAATGTGTATGCAGTACCTGTTATATAAAATGTACATAATATTACTATTATAAATAAATCTTTGTTAAAAATTTATTTTAAATATTCACATAATCTCTGATGACTCGTTAATATTCTGACCTTATGGTTATAAATTAACACATTTTTATTTTGAAATGTAATTAAAAAATCAATTTGTATTAAGTAGGTATTCAATTTCAAAGAAATTTCATAATAGACTATAGATTATTACTACAAAATTTATTTCTAAAAAAATTATTATAAAATGCCTAATTTAAATTGTAGGATTCATATTAAAAATAATAGTAATAATAATAATAATAATAGTAAGTTATAATAATAAAAATAATAATAATAATCATAATAATAATAATAATAATAATAATAATAGTAATAATAATAAAATAGAAGCTAAATAGCTATAGGTTGGAATGAACTAAATACTTATACAAATAATTAAAATGACTTCATTATTAATAGTTGAGATTTTGTATATTTAGAATGAAATAAATGCTTCAATTTAATAATAAAAAATTAATGATAAACACAATGCTTGAATAAATACAATCTAACTAAAACTATAATATTTCTGTTTTGTAATGTTTAATGAAACTGATATAATAAACAGATAGCTCATGCGATGCTAATACTAATAATTTTTAGAAAAAACATAAATTTTAATTAATATTGAAAAACTTTTAAATAGAAAATTGTAATTTATATTTAGTCAACTTGGATTTAATTCTGCATTTCTTAATGTATAGTAATAAATCATTAAATTGTCTTAGATATTTTAAATATGAAGACAATATTATTATAAAGTAAAAATGAAGTAAAATAGTAATGCAATTTAAAAAAAATGAATTATTTTGGATAAGCAAAAAATTACACACTTATTTTTTTCATTTAAAATTATAGTAGATGTAGTTAATTTTCATTCTCGTAGTTCGGGGCATGCCATGTGAGTCTCTCCTCATAAAATTTAATCACAACCTGAGGGCAAATCACGTTTGCTTCTTTTGCTGTGATTAAATCCGCTTCCTCAATGTTCTTCCACTTCAATAGAAACATCAACTGTCCACTAGAGTCTGTAGCACCGATAATTTTTTCCGCTTGCTTTGGTATAGATGGACCAGTGTTAGAGCCATATCCTTCCATTGGCGGCGGCAATTGATTTATTCCATCTCCGCCGTCATCTTCATCATCATCATCACCAAAATCCATTCCATTATCATCATCCTCAGAGCCAGAGTCAGAGTCAGAGTCTTCTTCCTCACTTTTATCTTCTACTTCTGGGTCCTCAATCTTGATTTGATCCTCATTCATTATAAAATCAGCACTTTTTGGTAATGACGGACCTCCTCCGTTAGAAATACCAGCATTGTATTCTTTTTTTGCAGAAGTAGTACTTGCATTGGATAATGCACGTTTACGTCCTCGTACACGTTGTAGTTGTTCACGTTCTTGTAGTTCACGTTCTTTTCTATCACGTTCTCTTCTATCACGTTCTCTTCTATCACGTTCTTTTCTATCACGTTCTTTTCGATCACGCTCTTTTTGATCACGTTCTTTTTTATCACGTTCTTTTTGATCACGTTCTTTTTTATCACGTTCTTGTTGTTCACGTTCTTTTAGATCACGTTCCTTTTGATCGCGTTCCTTTTGATCGCGTTCCTTTTGATCGCGTTCCTTTTGATCA